CGAATTCTTCGCTAGCGTGCGGCTCTCCCGGGGTTGGACAGCTGGTTTCACTTAGATTTGTGTGCGATCAGCCTTCCCGGCATCTTCCTGCTATTTTATCACATGTCAGCGAGTTAGTTTTACCGTATAAGGACTGCGGGCTGCTGCTGGGAGAGGTGGAGCCAGGCTCACCCCAGATTCCCAGTGGCCCCGGCTCCATAACTTTGGAATCTTGCTGAATTAAAATATGACTTAAAAGTGCCCTGTCTAGTGGAAGGAGTTGCTGCCACAGAACAGATGCCAGTTTTGTACGTGATCGATGCCTTGTGTATAAATCGGGAAGTTAAACACTGCACTGGGTAAAAACAGACGAAATGTTGGATAATTTATGACTAGAGGAATCCTGGGTCAGCTTCCATTTGGATCAGCCACTGAACTCCTTTCCAAGATGGCTCAGAAGTGAATGGAAACCACTTCCTCCAGCTTAGGAGTGGTCAGTGACCAAATTTGCTAAGCTGCAGCAAAACGCCTTTTTTTTTTTTTTTTTCCAAAGTATTTTAACATAAAGCATAAAACAGTCGCCCCTCCATGGTCTATATTGTGTAAAAGTGTTTTGGGGGAAAAAAAAGTGAATCTTGTATATGGCAATCCTCCTCAGGTTGGGGGACAATGCAGTGCAGAAGCCTGGCAGCTACTAAAGCAGGGCTCTATTTTCCTTCAAAAGCAAGCAATTAAAGGAGCTGAATCTTAATAAACACATATTTATGGACACCAGTTTGTCCATGTTGTCTGTATCGAGCATTTCTCCCAGCAATCTCTTCCATTTATTAACTAGTCTATTTTTTATACATTAATGTGTTCCACTTACTGTGCAGTTTGTTCAGTAATACACAAACAGATCTTATTACTGAGAAATGCATCCTGCCTAATTCCTTAAGTACCGCAGGAAGCAAAGTTAACTTATTTTAAGAATACATCTAATTTTGTCCCAAAAAAGCCTGACTGTGCCATGCTGAGGCCACTGTCTGTGCCCATCTGCAGGCTGGGGAGCCAGGCTGGATCAGGAGCTGGCTGCAGCTCCACAGTGAGCTGTGGCAGGGTGTCACTGAAACCAAGGGCAGAGCAACCAGCGGTGAAGGGTTTGGAACTAAGCCATCATGGAAACGGTTCGTTTTTAAAGTTTGGATAGATGCAGCTCTGTGAAGTGCTCCAAAAATACCCCAATCCATTCGAAGTCCTGTAGAGCTCCTTTTTGTGTGGCAGGAGTGGTAAGTGCCATTAAAAAAAAGAAAGGACAAGCACGCACTCCATACCTTGACATTCCTGAGATGCCAGAGTTTAAGCAAACAAAAAAGCAGAGGCAGAAGGGCCCCTGAGCTGCCCTGCACGGAGCTGTCCCGGGGAGATGCTGTTGTAGCTGTAGGGAAATGATGAGCTGGGAGCACTGGCCAGCAGCAAGTCCTGTGTAACCCACACTGGCCCCTGTCCACGCAGGCCGAGGGCGAGGTGGCAGCTCTGAACAGACGCATCCAGCTCGTGGAAGAGGAGCTGGATCGTGCCCAGGAACGACTGGCCACAGCCCTGCAGAAACTGGAGGAGGCTGAGAAAGCAGCAGATGAGAGCGAGAGGTACGCTCCTTTTTTATTTGCTGGTGTTAAAAAAATGAATATGTGTGAATAAAATATTCCTGTGTGATTTAGTATCTGCATGTGCTACTGCAAGTCACAGACTTGAAACTTTCTTACGAGATTGATTGGGTAATTGCATTAGCCTTGATGAACACAGTGGTCATAATGGGCCACTTTTAGGTTACAAATATCAAATTCACTTTGTGAAGTTGAGGTACAAGTCCCGTAATGCTTCTACATTAAACATGCTTTGACTTCTGCAGAGGAATGAAGGTTATTGAGAACAGAGCAATGAAAGATGAGGAGAAAATGGAAATTCAGGAAATGCAGTTGAAGGAGGCCAAGCACATTGCTGAAGAAGCCGACCGCAAGTATGAGGAGGTAAAAGGGAGAAGGAAATGGTGACATGTACAGGAGAGCCATGAACAAAAACATTGCTCTTCAGTGTAGTCCCTCTGTTCAGTTGGCACTGGGTGATGCTTCAGCCTTGGAACATTGCCAACAAGGAGGAATTTGAATAGTGATTTGCAGCATCTTAGGTACCTAATGCTAAAAATACTGCAAAATCTGACTAATTGGGCTGTTCCATCTGTGGGTGTATGCTTCAACCTAATTCCCTTACTCCGGAGGAAGCAGGAACAGAGTACTTCTGAGTGCCTTTTGAAATCTGTAAAGAAAGTGCCCCAGCCTGTGACAGGGTGGAAATAGATGATTTTTGAGGTCCCTCCCAACCAAGCCTGCTGTGATTCTGTGGAGTGCACACTGGCCTGAGAGCTGGCTGTTGTCTTTTTACAGGTTGCCCGTAAACTGGTTATTTTGGAGGGTGAACTGGAAAGAGCTGAGGAGCGTGCAGAGGTGTCTGAAGTGTGAGTAACTTTTTAGAATACAGGAAAGATCAACACATCTCATTTTAAAAATCTCCTGGTAGGCAGGCATGTAGTTAGTACTTGTAGAAAAGTTTGTTTGTACACTGTATACCTGGTTTTCTTCTTTCAGACTTAATTACTTCCTCCCTTGTGTTTTTTACGCTCCTCCAAATCATAACAGGAAGGCTGGTAATTCATACTTCTATTTTCCCCTTCTAGTAAGTGTAGTGACCTGGAAGAGGAGTTGAAGAACGTCACAAACAACCTGAAATCTTTGGAAGCTCAATCTGAAAAGGTTGGTTCTTTCAGTAAACTAAAGGATATGGGCAAAGCCAAAACTTGCAAATAGAATTCATAGAAACAAACCAGAAATACAAAGCAAATGAGAGGTTTTACCTGCCTGCCTGTGGATACCACTCCATCAGTTCTGCCCAAACAATCCTGAAGGTCTGCAGGAGAGCAGAAGAGCACGGAAATGCTGTTTGCAGCTGTTGTAAAAGGAAGAGTGCTTATAAATAGGTCACAGTTTCATAAACATTTATTATTGTTGCTACAACTTCCCTTAAAGAGTGTTTATTGTTTTCACAGTACTCGGAAAAAGAAGATAAATATGAGGAAGAAATCAAGATTCTCTCTGACAAGCTGAAAGAAGTAAGTTTGGCTATCCCCACGCTGGATGCATCTTTGGGCATAATCTTTCTAGGAGCATCCAGTGATGCAATTTCAACTTTTCTAGGCTGAAACTCGTGCAGAATTTGCAGAGAGAACTGTTGCCAAACTGGAAAAGTCTATTGATGACCTGGAAGGTATGGAATGAGTCAAGTTTCTTTAAAAGTGGTCAGTTTCAAATCAGATAACAAATTCGAGGAGGGGTGATGGATTTAATGGGAAAGAACAGCAGCATGTTGGTAGATGGGTGTGATGTGTCCACTGGGCACCTGCCCTGTGTGGTAGAAGTTCTCCTGAAAAAGGTTTTGTTCCATGAAGTTGGTAACAATTACCTGATTTTGGCCAACTAACAGATGGAGGGACTCAAGGGCTCAAGATCCCCACCCTACTTAATCTGCTTACTGGAAAATAATTGTGAGATTACAAAAAGAGAAAAAGTTCACATGAAAAGCTGACCAGGCAGCTTTGTGGGTGTTGTGCTTTCCTTCTGATACTCAACTACACCTCTGTTTTCTTCTTTTGTTTTCCTCCCCAACTGCTTTGGCTGCTGTTGCCCTTTGCTGTCTCCGTTCTCCTCCTGTGGCCTCTTCTCTTCCTGCATTTCTTGCTGGCCTGTGCTGCTGACAGATGAGCTCTATGCCCAGAAGCTGAAGTACAAAGCCATCAGTGAGGAGCTCGACCATGCCCTCAACGACATGACCTCTTTGTGACCTGCCCCTGTGTGGGGACACGGGGCTCCCACTCACTGTGTTTCTCAAGCTTTCCTTGCCTGTAATCCCTGTCACTCCTGTGCCACTTCCACCTCTGTGGGAACTGAGCTCAATAAAACGTGATACCTCTACCTTTCATCTTGCAGGGTTTACTTCTGCATAGATCAGCTCAAATACACCAAAAACACATTCAGCTCCTCATGTGGGGCTGGGCAAGACAGGGTCAGGATGGGGCAGGACCTGGCTCTGGCAAAAAACTGAATGTTAGTGTTCCCTTTAGTCAGCGAGAAGCTTTGAGTGCACTCAGTGTCTACTCCTGCTCCACCAGCCTAGTTAAAACCTCTCAGTCCAAGGAAAACCCAGCAGGATGTGACCTGTAAATGACACAGTGACACATTAAAACACAGGCTTTCCACATTCCACGAGACGTGTCCAAAAACCTCCCTTAAAGACAGCAATTACAAAAAGTTGGCCCCGTTTTGATGACACCGATGTAAAGGTGTCTTAAATACAAAGGTAAGCTACCCCAGGTTTTATTTAAAGGGAAAAGGCTATAAAAGAATGTGATTTAAATCTTGTGGTTTTCTTTCTCACCAGAAAAACTCGCTCAAGCCAAAGAGGAGAACCTGGGCTTGCACCAGACACTGGACCAGACGCTGAACGAGCTGAACTGTATATGAGGGGCGCAGCCAGCTGCAGCAGCCCTGCCTCGCTCCTTTCTCTCTCTGTATCCCGGAAAAGCCAATTAAGTTATGAGCGGCACAGCCACAGCGCCTGAGGGGAGCCCTGAGGAGCCCCCGCCGCGCCGCGCCGCTCTCACGGTTCCTTATCCTTTGGTATAAACCCGGTGGCAGCTGCACCCGAGCGGCGCTGCCGTTCCTCATTAAACGATTTCTCACAGAACCGAGGCCTCTGCGGGTTTTTGTTCCGCTCGGGGGGCGTGACGTCACGGTGCGGGCAGGTACGGGAGTGACGTCACTGCCACCGCCCGGCCTCGCCCCTCCGTACCGGAAATGACGGAACACCGGCGGTGGGGCCGATAGCCAATCGCAGCGCCGCTTGCCCCCGTGTCGGCGCCGCCCGCCAATGGCGTGCCGGCTCCGTGCGCTCTCCGCCGGGCTGGGCCAATGAGCGTGTGGTGGGCGGGGCCGCTGCCCACCAACATGGCGAAGACCTACGACTACCTGTTCAAGCTGCTGCTGATCGGCGACTCGGGCGTGGGCAAGACCTGCGCGCTGTTCCGCTTCTCCGAGGACGCCTTCAACGCCACCTTCATCTCCACCATCGGTGAGCGCCGCCGGGCCGCACCGCGGGCTCGGCCGCGCTCCGGGGCGGGTTTGCGCACGGGGCCCGGAGCGGCTGCTCCGCCCGGCCCGCAGCCCCGGGAGCGGCCGCGGCTGGGAGCGAGCTCTGGGCACGAGACACCGGGCAGCGGATTTGAGGGCAGAGCCGCTGGACTGGGCCTTTCGGCCGGCTGAGAGTAAAGGCATTGGTTCTCCTTTCAGGAATCGACTTCAAGATCAGAACGATAGAACTCGATGGCAAGAGAATCAAGCTGCAGATCTGGTGAGGCTCCTCTGCCGCAGTGCGCGGCTGATCGCTGGGGCTGTGCGTGGGGATCAGCCGCTTCTCTGCGGTTTGCTGCTCGGTGGTTTACGGTGTTTCAGAACCCAAAAGGCAGTTTCTAGTGCTCTGAAGACTGGTTCACATTTGTGTAAGGCTTGTGGCGGTGTTAACTGGAGCTGGCTTCGTGAGCCCCGTGTTGTGTGTGTTGCAGGGACACGGCCGGGCAGGAGCGGTTCCGGACCATCACCACCGCCTACTACCGGGGAGCCATGGTAGGGGCCTGACAAACGCAGCTGGCTCTGAGTGGAACACGCACAGCCTGGGGCTCTGCCGGGCTGCACACTCAGCTCTGCTCCTGCTCCACGTGCTGCTGGAGCTCTGCTGGGATGTTGGATTTTCTTGACCTAGAGATGGGGTAACTGAGAGGCGTTTTAAAAACTTCTGTTCCATTTCCAGTCTCATGAGAAGGGTGAGACAATACAGATGCTATAGATCACGCCATCACAATCAGAAGCCAACTATTTCCCAATTACAATACACTATAAGTGTTTCTTGGCTTATCAATTTTTTTGCCACACCATGCTGTAGATACCTTAAAAGCAATCACCTAAAACTACCCCTCACAGGTCCCACTACAATGCATCTTTCACAGTTCTATTTCTCCAAAGTATCTAGTCTTATTTACAAGACCATCTTTTGAAACTTTCTCTTGCTCCATTTCTGTCTCAATATCTGTTCTATTCTATAGCATTTCTAAGTCAGCATTTCTTGTCTCAGAGTTTACATACAGTTGCACACTGTGTGGGCCTTCTGTCAGGCCCTGAGAACTCTACAAATCCATTTCCCACATTGGGACTTTGCAAAGGCAAGTTCACTCTGTGATACATGTCCTGCACGCCTTATCTCACTGCCATTAGCTGGGAACCAGTTGTTAAAAACAGCCACTGTTGAGCTGCTCCTCTCTGCTATGGATAAACCTTTAACTCCTGCTGAAACAGTCTTTCTTTATCTTTAGGGTATTATGCTAGTGTATGACATCACCAATGAAAAGTCTTTTGAAAATATTCGGAACTGGGTGAGGAATATCGAGGAGGTAATTTCTCTCTTTACTCATTACTGACTGTTAAAGGTGTCATTTCTTCCTCTGAAAGTAATTGAAGCTGAATTGCTTCAGGAGCGTTACATTTTGTCATGTGGTGCAGGGTACTTGGAAGATAAGTGGATGGAAATCAGTAATAGCTTCTGGAATGCCTTGGCTGATGGTGATTTGTGGTGAGGGCTGTAGCCCCTGTGCTTCTGAGGGCACCTCAGACAATTCCCTGGCACAATAATTGATCCAAGAAGTGCCATGGTGCAGGTTATGTGCTGGGAAGGAGGGCTGGGGGAGCCTGGAAATCTGTGGAAGATTCTCAGGACTGGCATCTCTGTGTTGGGCACTCAGCGGGTGCCTCACCTGTCTGACAATGTTTATCTACCAAAGCCAAGCCCAAGTTTCTGTCTGTGTTTGTCTCAGCACGCCTCTCCAGATGTTGAAAAAATGATCCTGGGGAACAAATGTGATGCAAATGACAAAAGACAAGTCTCTAGAGAGCAAGGGGAGAAGGTAAGTGCCGTGGCTTTGGTGGATTTAGGCTTTTCAGAGTCTAAAACCTGCCCTGCTGATTGTGTGCACGTGGTACCCCAGTGGTGTTCCTGAGTGGATGACTGAACATTCCCCAGGCTGCCATGGCAATGCTTTTCCCCCCTGGGATCAACAGCAGAACCTGTGTAAGGATTCTTGTCAATTATCTAACAGATGCAAGGCAACGAGCGGGACTGCTCTAAAAGGATGCTAGAGTTGGACATGGAGAAAATGTCTGTTTTGGCTGAAAGCCACTGAGACAAGGTAGATGGGGTTGTCTTTCCTGATCTCAGATGTTACTGAGTCGAGGCCGAGTTTTTTTCTGTGCTGTGGTTGTTATGACACTGACAAGGTATCTATGCAAGAAACAAATAAAAAAGAGCAAGTTAAAATGTGGGCAGAGTGTAAAAGCAGACAAAGCCAGTGAGAACAGATGCCAGTTGCAGTGGGATTTAGTTCCTAATTTTTACAAACTGTCCTGCATGAGTAAATCCCCAGCTCCACTGACTGGTGGCAGCAGGGACAGATGCTTTGCCCAGGGCTGTGTTTGGAGCTGTTCCTGCAATTGTTCAACTCATGTGCAATCTGCTTTTGTTCAGCTCGCTGCAAGCTTCGGGATTAAATTCATGGAGACCAGTGCAAAAGCAAATATAAACATAGAGAATGTAAGTACTGATGCCTTTCTCTTGTATCTATTGTCCTCTTGTGCAAACCAGCAGTGTGGGCCCATGCTGGTGGGATGCAGAACTGCACTGCTGGGTGCCACAGATGGGATGTTCAGCACTGCCCTGCAGCACAGACCCTGGCTGGGGGTGGCAGTGTGGCTTTGGGGCTCAGAAAGAAGGAGCATTAAAACTTGGAGCAGAGGGGAAAATACTGAAAACCTAACGTTTTTGTATAGCATGTCAAAACTTGGGAAGGCAGCTTACTGCTGTACAAAACATTTTATACCCTGTAACACTGAACTGTTTGACTTGCCACAGGCATTTTTCACTCTTGCAAGAGATATCAAAGCAAAAATGGACAAGAAGTTGGTGAGTAACTTTGATTTCCTCCATGCTGGACTTAAATAGAAAAAAAAAAAGCAAACCAAAAGCCTATTGCAAGAACTGTTTCACAGTGTATAAAAAATGTGTCACAGTCTCTTTTAGGAAGGATCCCTGAAAGTTCTAGAAATGTATTTTTAGTTTGTCCAGGCTGTGCTCTGATGTTTGCTGTCTCTGCATTTCAGGAATTAGCTGCAATGGTTGAAGTTTTCTAAATAAAATTATCTGTTATTTGTTTTATCAAAAGTCAGTTGGGTGGTAGAGCAGTTTAATGATACCTCTCACTCTTGCAGTCTGAAAATCATGTGACCAGATAGGAACTGATGCAGTGGGATATTTTGGATCTTGCTGATGATTCCTAAGCCTTCCAGCAAGAGCCATACATGTAATTTATTGGTTTTTATTCTCAGCTGTTTTTGAGTTGATGGAAGCTGAGGCATAGGCACAGTGTGATCTGGTTGGAGCCAAAAGCTGCAGATGCAGTTCTGCAGTTTTTGTCATGGCTGGTGTAAGACCGAGATAAATGAGTGAAGCCTCTTAGTGATTTTGGCAAAGTTCTTGTGTATGTCAGGCTTGGTTAAGAGTCACCAGATGAAGTATGGATGGAATAATCTGTTAAGTATAAATAAGTAACTGGATATTCTTTCCATCTTCAGGAAGGCAATAGCCCTCAAGGCAGCAACCAGGGAGTCAAAATCACACAAGACCAGCAAAAGAAAAGCAGCTTTTTCCGATGTGTTCTTCTGTGAGGGACACGGCCTTAATCTGAGCTGGACTGTGCCTGTGCTAAGTGAGGTTTCCTCTTTCTGTGGACTTAGTGCTCCCAACATACCTTGTCACTCTGTGACCATCTGAATAAGAAATGGCTTATTTTGGTAATTGTCTGACTCTTCAATTTTGGAGATGAAACAAGTTTATTTTTGTCAGATTGCCACTGGGCATGTGTATTGTCTAGCAGAGGAAGAACAGATCACATGTGACCTGGGACGCAGCACCATTGCTTCGGTCTTCATTCGTATCTGTCACGTATCCAGTTTAGAAAGATGAAGTTGTGATCAAAATAAGAAACGTAAATGCCACTGTTAATGAAGTACAGGTATGCATAGATGGTACATGTGCATATCCAGTGTGTAGCTGCACACTGAATAGTGGCATGAGACCATCCTAGAAACGCACCAAGGTGAGCAGTGCAGGCTGATGCCTTCCCAGGAGGTACAAAGGAGCTTTCTGCTGCTCCACCTTTTAAATACTACAGAGAAGCTCCTTCATCTGCCTGTCTCATACTCAGCGGTGTTACTCTAGACAATCCACAAGTACAATTGATGTTTTAAAAAAAATCTCCTCAAAGGAATCTATTTTTTTAAAAAAAGAATGTGTGCTGTACATAGAATGGGTCCTTACCATTGGTAATTCATCCACGTTAGACTTGACTGTGGTTAATTAAGTACTCCAGACACTCAGACGTGTTTAACAGGAGCTGATGGCTACACGAAGTCCTGTACAGATGATCTGTCATTTGTTCTTGGAGAACCAGGGTCAGGCAGGGACACTTACACAAAACCTGTCACCTTACAATGGGTGGCTTTACCACTCTCCAGCTGGGAATGACTCCAGACCCATCATGACAGAGTAGGTAGTTTTAAATCATGACAAGGAAAAGTATTGCACTGCTCCCAGTCGTGTGTTCCCAAGCACACTTGCTCACATATGCAGATAAATGTTGCACATCAGAACACTTTGTGAGAAGAGACTCCTGGGCTGGGGCTGGCCTTGCTGGTGTAGATCACTGCAGCATCAGCCTGCTCACAGCTTGTGCCTGGCATGCCTCCCACAACAGGCTGTTACTCATTCCCACAACCCCAGGGCCGCTTGTGCCAGGCCAGAGCCAAGCACAGCTCCTCGGTGGGTGCTGTCACAGGGCAGGGCTGCAGGCCTGACTGGGTTACACTGACAGAAGGAGTGTCAGCCTCCGAGGCTGCTGCGCGGGGATTGCAGCGATTGATGCTGTACCTGACCCAGAGAACGCACCAGCTGTGCCCTGCAGCTGGCTGCAACTGAAACATGCTTTGTTTACACTGACAGCTGCAATTAAGGGCAAAATCAAAGTTGATTTTGAAGTTGTGGAATTTACTCACCAGTTTTGTTTTCTTCAAGTTTATGGTATTGAACTCTGGGCCTCAGAGTAGCGCTAGTAAGTGTTGCTGTGGTTAAACATCTGTTGGATTCACAATTAAACTGTATAAATCTGCAGCATGCAATTGGGCCCAACAAGAATATTGCCTGTTCCAGAATGGAAAAAGATTTCACTCTGTAAGTTGCTGGTTTATAGAAATGCATTTTAGATGCATTTAGATTATCTCTGTCCTGATTAAAGCTTTCCTCTAACCAGAACCTTATGATGGTTTGGTTCTTTGTTTACTTGTGGCTTTTTAGCTTGAGGACTTGATGAACACGCTCTGTAGTGGATTTATACATAGCTGTAATTGTAGGATAAAACCATGTTAAGTTACTGAGGAGGCTTCTAGACAGAGTGTAGTTAACACAGGCCTGTAGACTGGACAAGCAGCACCTCTGTCTTGAGCTAAGGATGTTTTTGAAGAGTTTGTGGGTGCTTCAAGAAATGACTGAGGCACAGCTGGGGCGGTGATAAGACAGGCTGAATTTCCTACATAACTCTGTAACAATTTGCTTCTGGCTTAGTAATAACTGTGGATTGTCTTGCATCTATATTGTGCATCATACAGCCAGATGCTGAGCCAGATTTATTTTTCAGAGAGACTGGAAAAATTGGTGTTTATCTGACTTGATACCATGGGTCTGCCATGATGCTGGTTCTTGCCTGTGGACTTTATCAATAACTCATCCCAAGATGGGAAAGCAAACTATATTCATTTACAAGTGGGTAAAACGTGAAGGATGGTATTGTGATTTTTTCACTCATTTTCTAAATCTGAAGTTACTCTTGCATTCAGAATTCTTTGTATGTGAATACCTTCTGTTTAAACTTACGCTGGTTGTTGCATGTGTTTATGTACCTAATTATAACATTATTTCCTTTGAAATGGTTGGGTTTACGAACAACAACGTTATTGCTTGATCTCAGGAAGTCTCATGCAGTTACTGTGACTGCAGTCATCACTGTACTTCTGGGTATGAAGGCTCTACACAGATACTAAATCTGTGTAAGCAACATGGAACCTAAAATGCAAGTGTAAGAGAGGAAAAGGTTAAAGACACTGCACTGCACGTGGGCTTAGCTATGTGTCACTAAACACAGGCATCAAATCTAGAGAAGTACAGTATGTTTCCATCACATCATTCAATTACTGTGTTTATTAAGTATGAATGTAATGGAAAATGCAATTGTCAGAGAGGTACTCTGTAAATACTTACATAATCTACTTGTGTCTAAGCTTTCTTGAACTAAGGAGGGAAAAATCAGAAATTTGGTACAAAACCTATAAAACTGAGGAATTGAAATAGGTCTGCAAAACTAACTGTGCTTACTACACATTCTCAGTGTCTAAATACCACTAAAATGTCAAGTAATTGATTAACATTTGTTTTGTAGAGAAACAAACCCATTTTTGAGCATGTCCTCAAATTCCCTTATTTTAGTGAGTATCATGGAATTCTGTGGTTGACCTTATTTTTGAGGCTGGTTGCAGTACATTGCATCGTTGTCACTCCTTGAGGTGGAGACCTGTCAGTCTCTGAGTAATGGTGGAGCTGCTGTTCTAACACTTATTAACACCTGTGTTATCTTTGTCCTGTGCTGACAGGCACAGCTCATGTTTCCTGACATCAGAACCTTATGCCAGCATCAGACTTCCAGCCTCAGATTTATAAATCCTATGGATTATTGTAAGTCTCTTTACTGCTGCTGAAAATTATTAGGTCTCTCCTTTCCTGTGAGATGCAGATCATCTCCCTGATGATTGCTAAGGGTTATTGTGGTGGTGTGTTTGGCTGATCATGCTCAAAACTGCCATGATTTCTGGTTCTCTTGGACTTGCCAGAGGAATGCACAAACAGCTGTGTGAGGATGGGCTCCTTTGTACTTGTAGAAGTTGTAGGGCTTGGGGAAGAATGATGACTAACTTGTGTCTTCATTTCCAGCTTAACTAAAGATCTGTTCAAAGGAATGTGAATGGTAACTGCAGTCTGAGTGTTCCAGGCTGCCTTATTCCCTGACCCATCCTTCACTGATGCGAAGTTTCTGTGGTTAATAAAGGTAACTGGCTGGCTGGTCTCTCCAGCCTTTCTGCAGGAAGCATCTGCTCTACACTGCGTGTGAGTTGGGACTTGCGGCTTTGTTTTGAAGGGAATTTAATGCATCCTAACATTTGTAAAAATAACTGTAAATTGTATTTTTCAAATTATCACTTTTGGCTGCCACCCTTCCCACATTACAACTGCTTTCTTAAACACTTCTCGTTGATTTTCATGTTTGTATTAAAACAAAACTGTTGTTTGTTACAGTATGTCTGTTTTTACTCTCTTGTACAGGACCCTAAGCACTGCATAAATAAACTTCTTACGAAAAGAGAATTTTACAAACTTGAGTTTTCAGTCCTATTCATCATTTGTGTGTAGGGACCCTGGTGGGTGTGGAAGATAGGGGATTTCTGAAAATGGAGAAGAGGGACAGGACCTGGGGTAGACTCTTTTGTCTCTAAACTATGCTGACTTTTTAATTGTAAATCCTGCACTGGGGGAGAATAATTCAGTAATTGATTCATTGGACCATTTATTAAAACCATAAACAATCAGAGGATTATTTATTATTACTTATGTTTTTGAAACTAAAGGGATTTTTTTACTGATTAAGGCATTTTGGGGTGAATTTTTAGAGGTTATAGTTTGATACAAGTTTCTTTACTTCCCTTCTGACTGTCCAGGCCAGGTTTGCTCTACCTGAGGGAGTAGACATTTTGCTAAATTACAGGGAAATCCTGATGAAGAGCTTAATTGTTCCTTTTAAAGAGATAAACAAAAGACAGTTCTCTGAATGGTTCAGTTACCAGAAGTTGTCCTCTTTGCCCCTCTCATCTTGTGCTCTCATGGCTGGTAATCTCAGGTGAAGTAACAGTTGTTGAAAGTCCCAGAAGCACTCCTGTCCCCGTGGCTGACTAGATTCAGATTCGAATATGAAAGGTGCTGTTAAAAAAAGGAAGCCATAATCACGCATCACTGTTTAAAGGATTTACTACAGTTAATTGTAGGACTCTGATAAATTAGAAACTTCATTTTTCAAAGCATTTGCATAGATGGGGTACATTAAATACATTTTGCAAGATTTGAATGCTGTTTTGAGTGTGTAAGATGTACATCAGAAACGACATTAACACTATGTTAAGCATTGAGTGAGCAAATCTCATACATTTATCAATGCAGCCTAAGTGCCAATACTAACTTTTTAAGTTACAAGGACCTTCTATCATGTAAAAAGTACTTTGGAAGTTCAAAAGCAAGTCAAGAAGCCTCCAGGGTTTTTTAAGCATCTATTTTTGTGTTTGCAGTGGGCAGCTCTATTCAAACCTGCCACAGAAGAGCGGTGATCTGCAAACGCTGAGGAGATGTAAACACATACTTCAGAGGCTTCTGACAAGGAAACTAACAGAATTCTGTGCTAGAAATTAAAAGCAAATATTACCTGAGGAAATCTGGAGCTCGTACGATCATATGCTGGAAGTCTGCCAGGGACAGCTTGCCATCGTTGTCCACATCAGCCTCGTAAATCACCTTTTCACACACCAGGCTGACTTCTTCCGGGGTCAGTTCATTTCGGGTTAATTTGTTAACAGTTTTCTCTAGATCTGATTTGCATATGTAATCATCATTGTTGAAGTCTGACAAAGGAGACAAAGTTAATTTAAAGTGATTAAAGTCAGCATCTTACATGGTAGTTTGCCAAGACTCAATAGAAGAGTTTGTGATGGATTTTCACCAGTAGAACTCTCAAATCAGAAATGAAGTTACCTCTATCTATTTGTAAAAGAAATGAGTTACAAAATAAAAATCTTTTAATTTCTCCTGTTCATACATAAGTGTAACAACTGTAAGTAGTTTAATGGCTAAACATAGCCTAGCCATCATTAAATCACTCCAGCAAGACTATTGGTTTGATACATTGTCTTTAGCTGATCATAAAGAAAGTAACTGTAAATGATACATTTAAAAAAAATTTTACATTTGTCCTTGGAGAAAAAAAGCCTGCAATGTGCTTCCCTGCCTCCCACTCCCAAATCCACCCTACAGATTCATGGGGAGCCAAATCCCCTGTGCTGTACTTTTCCAAGCAGCCCCTCAGACAGAAATATTTTTAAATGTTTATCAGCTCTTGAAAATTGCAGATAATTTCAAGTTGTAAATTTGGTAGTAAATCTTAACACCAGATAAATTAGAGACAAAAGGATAAAGAAAACCAGAAGTTTTTAGAGGAGGGAGATCAAACATTCAAGTGCAGTTAAATGGTAACTAGAATTCATTATGCCGGCAAAGTGAGGATTTTGCAGCCCTACATGAAGCTGCAGGATTTCCCCACTTATTTTTATGCATGTCTCACTCACCATAGATTTTAAAAGCATAATAAGCTTTCAAGTCTCGGGGAGCCATTTCACTTAGCACAGAAAACATGTCCAAAAAATCATCCAAAGTCATATTGCCGTCGCCGTGCTCTGAGAACACCTCTGCTATCCGCTGGCGGAATGGGTTGTCCTGGGAAACAGCACAGGAGCAAGGGAAGGTCATCCTTGCTAGCACTGATATCAGTGCAGCTAAGGCAAGTGGAGTGAGATTATTTTTGTTGAAACACCTTTTTGGCAATTTCTTCCCTTTCTGCCTTTAAGTTCTTGTCTAATGCTGTGTCACAAGCAGACACAGCCGCACCCTGTTTAACCTTTGTGCTGGTTCAGCGCGTTTTCTGGGAATTACTAGAAGCTTCCAGAAAGACTTTTTACTTTGATAGCCCAAATTTATTTCTCTGGCAGCCACCCAGCAATTAGTCGTGGATGAATTATTCAGAAAGGGTAGATGAAATGTGCCACTGGAGTCGTGTGCTCGGTACCTTGAGCTCTGGCATGCTGCCGATGAGCTCGTAGGGGAGTGTCACGGCCGGTTTGTGCGCGTAGTCAAGGGGAACGAGCTGCGGGGCCAGATCCCGGTACCTGTGAAACAGCCTGAGACAGAGAGAAAGGCTTGTTGGCTCTTGAGACTTCTGAGAACAAGGTGGTTTGCTTTTCCACCTCATTTTTCACGCTTTGCATCCATTACCAGACAGAGATCAGTCACTAAGAAACAGTTAGAATGTTTTTGTTGGAGCAACTGTTGTTAAAACAAGCAACATAGTGTAATGGTGAAAAATACAAAGCTTCATTATAAACTGTTGGGTGAAAATGCTTACACAGGACATGCACCCAAACCCTTACGAAAGGAGAACAAGTTCATGTGTTCAGTGAGGACTCTCAGTCCCACCTGATCCTGCCTGTATCAGATCCTTTGGCCAGAGATTAAATAGGGAGTTCAATGAGGCTGGGGAAAAATGCTGCTTGGAGCAGCAGTGTAATTGTTTACAAGACAACAGGAAGAAAACTTGACACAATCATTAAAGTTTTCATAAACCAGCAAAGTATTCCAGAGAATAACAGCACACTTTGAAGCATCTGCCCGAAAACCATGTGAGAGAACCGTGGATGTTGCTGTCACTAAGATGTAATTCATTACATTTATTTCTAATAAATAAAGAGAGACTAGTACATTAATACAAAATTTAGAATTCTGACTCAGTTTAGGATAGGGTTTGTAAATGAAAAAAAGGCAACAAAAATGCTCAGATTGCCCCAAAGTATTACTTTACATTTGAGTAAATAAATTTAAAATTATTTTTTAGATACCTTACCCCATATGTAACCTGCCTTTACAGCAATCTCTGCTCTTTATTCACAACATGCATACAGAAGACTCACCTCAAAATTTCTTTCCTTGTGAAAAATGTGCAGTCCTATGAAATAAGAAAAAGTATAACATGAAATGACAGTTTTTAGTATGCACTGGCCCAAACTTTTCCCATGCAGTGACTTAAAAGAAGTTATACTGTAGTATATGTGTAAATATTAAAGACTTCTTTTTGGCATAAAATTAGGCATATCTTATAACCTTTTCTTTTGATGTAAAAATCAAACTACGTTCCTAAAATCTTTGCTGCAATTCAGTTCTTCTGCTTACTAATTTTTAAAAGATGTTGTTTTAAAAAACCCAACACCACCTTTGCCATTATTCAATGTCCTGCCCAAACAGCCATTTAGCTTGCTTTATACCTGATATGCATCCAGTTGCTCCTGAGTGAAAATGGTTTGCTTGTTGCCCATTTTGAGCTGGGAATACTGACTCTTGTCAGTTCTTTCCTCAAAGGCACCTTAACGGTCGTCTGGATATTCAGTTATTAAAAGCTGCAACAATGAGGCTCAGGTACAGCAGAAGATCAGGTAACCAACTTGTACAGGCTGCAAAGTATCATAATAGGAGCATTTCATCAAATCTTTAGTCTGGCTGCTTGAGGCTCTTCTCCAGCAGCATTCACCCGTCTCCTGTGTGCACCACGAAGACTCGGGTTACAGGATTTAGCCAAACAAGTAATAGCTGCTCATTAGTGCCCTTCAGCTGCAGGTAGACCCAGTGGACCCTGCTTTCTCATGCCTTCAGATATGGTGAATTAACTGAAAAGTGTTAGTAGTGTTTTCTTTCTTTAAAATTTAACACCAAAGATATCCCCTCCTCCTTTCCTTCTCACGTTTTATAGGGTCAGAATTATAAAGGTTGGAAAAGCCCCTTTAGATCATTCATGCAGCACTGCCAAGGTCACCACTATACCATGTGCCCCAAGTGCCACATCCACAAGTTTTCTGAACACTTCCAGGGATGGTGACTTCACCACTGTCCTGGCAGCCCGTGCCAGTATTTTCCTTTAATGCACACTGTTAAAATACATCATGCTGATGTAGCTTGTACTGGAGGTGGTCTGCTTCCATCAAGTTTGCTCTCTCCCTTTCTTCTGCATCATCTGCTGATGTATGTTACTACTAATTAATGGTTATTAGCATGACATCCATCCATTCTGATACATATATGGCCTTTACACTGAAAAGATGTGTGAGCGTATAGTTCATACACATGAACAGAAATGTGATGGTATGAAAGGCTGTATGAAAGATGAAAAATGAGGAAAAAAAAAGGAGGAACATGCAGAGCATGTGGCAGGCTGCTTTTTCATGGATCTGTAAAGTTTCTCTTTCTGGGTCACTGGTTCCCTCCGGCTGGTGGAAGATCTGGTCCTGGGGCAGGCTTGCTCCTCAGGGCATCTTCACGTAGCAAAAAGGATCTGGAATAGTTCTGTTCAGAGTGGAACAAGAAGTGTGAGGAGGGATGGGGCTGGTTTCTCCTGGTGTAGCCTGGATATCCAGGTGTTCTCCTCAAGGTGATTCCATCCTGTTGTCCTCAAAATCAGATTTATTATGTGGTGTGCAACAAGCCAATAATTACATGCTTGAGAGAGACATTATTTGCACAAGCCTGGATGCTTGGTGGGTTTCCACAAATCCAACATGCCTCACTGGACTTTCCACGTCATTATTTACAGAAGTTCAGAGTTAGTCTTTTTCCAAGGTCAGCCCCTCTATTAAGATTATTTAGTAATTTCCATACAAGTTAGCCAATCCCTAGCTAACTTCTCCACATGCAATGGGGAAGGGTCTGCACCTGGGCAAGGTCTTTTTGACCCTTAGGCATGATCCTAAGTATTATAATGAAGATAGTTCAGCTGTAGGATATACAGGCCTTGAGTCCTGTGCTAAATTATCAATGTATACACACACATACATCAACATTTTGATTTACTACATCCCTAAAGCTTGTTAGTTTCCATATGCCTTGACTAAGGGCTGCTAGCTGCTGTCTTCCCACCCATTATGTTTCCTTTCTTGCTGATTAGGTTCGAAAGTATACAAAGATTTTACATCAAAAAACCAAAATTCTAATTTAAAATAACCTTTATATATTCCACATTTTGCAAGTCCCGCTTCGGTTCCCCTCATGGAGAGAATTCCGTACTGGGCTCGCTGCCGGATCCCCTCACGGAGGGGCCGGGCGGGGCTCGTTCTCTGTTCCCCTCACGGCGGTGCAAGGCGCCCCGGTTCCCCTCACGGAGGGGCCGGTTCCCCTCACGGCGGTGCAAGGCGCCCCGGTTCCCCTCACGGAGGGGCCCGTTCCCCTCAGGCGGTGCAGGGCGCCCCGGTTCCCCTCACGGAGGCCGGGCGGAGCTCGAGCGCGGCTCCCGGCCCCGGCCGCGCCGTTGCGGCGGTGCCGGCAGGGGGCGCGGGCACGGCCGTTCCGCCATGGCGGATTACGAGGCGGTGCAGCGCGGTCCGCTGCGGCTGAAGGGCAGCGGCGGGGCCCTGGGGGCCGGCAAGCGGTGAGGGGCGTCGGGGAGAACCGGGGAGAACGGGGGGCAGTGAGGAGGGGCTGGGAGAATGGGCGGCGAGGAGGGGACACACAGCCCCGGGGATGAGCGCTGACCGGGCGTTCCCCGCAGGAAGAAGAAGAAGGCGAAAGACAAGGCCCAGATCCTGGAGCAGATCGTGAGCAGCAAGAAGCAGGAGGAGGAGAAGAAGCGCGGGCTGGACAAGCGGACCCCCGCGCAGGTGGCCTACGAGAAGATGCAGGAGAAGCGGGTAAGGCTTTAAAAACCCCGTCAGCCCTGGGGTGCTGAGGGGGCTGCGAATGTCGGGAGTAACCGGCCCTTCTGTGTCTCCCACAGCAAATGGAGCGGATCCTGAAGAAAGCATCAAAAACCCACAAGCAGCGAGTGGAGGTGAGCAAAACCATCCCGAGTCCCTCAGGCCAGCGTGTTCATTGCTGGGCTGAAGGAAGCGTTCCGCCTTGTCAGACACAAGCCGGGACGCAGGGGGGCTTGTGGTTCAACTCGGTGATGTCAGCACCGGTTTTCTTTCTCTTTCCCTCCCCCAGGACTTCAACAGGCACTTGGATACTCTGACTGAGCTTTATGACATTCCCAAAGTCAGCTGGACTAAATGACCAGGCTGCTTTTCACGGCTCTGGAGCTGGAGTTGTGTTTTGTTTGTATCAAGCAGGGTTGCCATGTAAATCTGTCTTTTCTCCATATTGTCTAATACATCTTCTCAGCTTTTATGACTTTATACTGTCTTATTTTATAGACTTGTTTTTTAAAACCAAACATGCAGCAATGTCTCCTCTGGGCTGAGGAGCTCTGGTTTACGTCGATGCAGAGGGCTGGGTTTTTTTAGTGTTTATAGTGAGATTAAGGGCAAAACTAATAGCTATGAGCCAGATGGAAAACTTTCCTTTGTTTCTTTGGTTGAGGTGAAGAGTCTGACGGGCTCGCATTTAAGTTTCTCTTGTAAGTTATGTGAATTGTATAATTACTTTCTATTAAGTTCTGTCAGAGGCCACGTTGAAATATGTAAAATTGTTTTACGAAAGGATATTCTTTTATATTTGATCTTTGTATACTTTCAAGCCTACCCAGCAAGAAGGGAGATTTAATCCATGAAATAGAGAGCAGCCAACAGCTGTGGGTGATGTCCAAGTTTTGATAGCTGATGTGCTGGATTTCTGGGATCCCACCGAGCATCCAGGCTTGTGCAACTCTGAAATAAATCATCAGTGTGTCTCTCGAGTGTGTAATTACTGGCTTGCTGTGCACCGGCTACTGAATCCGATTTTTGTGGAAAACAGTATTATTTCTGTCTTATCAACAGTGTCATTTCTATCTTGAGCTCTGTCAGAGGGGTCTGCTGCAACTTGTAAATTCGATGTAATTTATTAAAACGCTGCTTCCATCCCTTTTTTGGTGCTGATACTCGCATGAAATCGGGAGTGTGGAGTGTGATTCTTCCCCCTCTGGGGGATGACATGTATCTCGATGTTCGAAGTCCTAACGCGCCTCTTAAGTCGGGATACTGTTCTTAGCCCCGGTACTCGGCGCGTGCCGGAGCCCCTCGGTCCGCCCGGGGTCGGGCCCGCGCTACCGGGACTCCTTAACGGCGCTGTTCGCCGCGGTGTCCTTCCGCCGCGCCGCGCGTATCGCTGCGCGCGGCCGGTGCTGCGGCCCGTGGCGTCACTTCCCGCGGAAGCGGAAGGCGGGCGGGACGCGGCCCGGCCGGGGCGATGTCGGCCAGCGCCGTCTATGTGCTGGACCTGAAGGGGAAGGTGAGGCCCGGCCGCGGGGTTCCGCTGCTCTGGGGGGCTCCGGGGGCCGCGTTCCGTTTCCCAGGCTGCCAGCCCCGGGCTGGCCGGGCGGGGACAGCGGAGCTGTGGCCTGTAGCCCCTCGCCGGTGGGGATGTTGAGTGGGGCGGCATCCCCGCGGTAATTCACCTCTGCCGGTATTGTAGCTGCTTTGCCTCAGAGGAGCTGCGTGTTTTCCTCTCCTAAAATCGTTCTTAGAGCGCGAGAAGGAATACGGGAAGGGTAGCTCTGGAAAATGCTAATACATGACTTTGCAATTAAATGTTGGTATTCGCGTTCTAATCTGCAAAGTATTTTGGCATTGTGATTTGCAGGTATAAATGCAGGGAGGCTCGAGGGAAGCTGGATGGTTTTGGATGGGCCTTACAAGCATTTCTGTGCCTTGCATGATAATGTCCTTGTGGAAGAGAAAAAAGAAGGATTTGGTTGCTTTCTTTGTAGGTTCTGATCTGTCGCAATTACCGTGGAGATGTGGACATGTCAGAGGTGGAACACTTTATGCCAATCCTTATGGAAAAGGAAGAAGAGGGGACACTTTCTCCTATCCTAGCACATGGAGGAGTTCGTTTCATGTGGATTAAGCATAACAACCTGTATCGTATCCTTTGTGCTACAGATGTGCCAAGGGTTGCTGGTTTGGCTTTCTTAATGTCAAAATGCAAGTGGAGAATGGGTGAAGTGGTGCAAAGAGGCTGTATTCAGTACAGTTGGTTATATAAAATAAGGGGTTTTGTCCTTTACATAGTGTAATGTGCACCAGCAGCATAAGGTCCAGAAAAGTGTTTTAATTTTACTCTAATTAATGACTTCCTGATTGTTTATCTTCATATCTCATTAGACCGTATGTGCTCTTAAGTAGTTAATGCATAATTCTTCTAGGCAATTCTATTTGCCTAAAATTAGGCTTTTTAAAATACACTTAGTAAACTTATTTTAAAATGCACATTCCTGAACATCCTTTATCAGTTGTTGCAACTTCTAAGAAAAATGCTTGTGTATCACTGGTGTTTTCATTTTTATATAAAGTAGTTCAGGTGAGTATATTTCAAAAGTAACCTTTGTGGTTTTTTCTGTCTAAACAGAACTGCACAGAGCTTTCACATTTCTTAGGAACTTCAGTAATAGCATTTTAACTTTATATTTGGTTGTTTTGTAGAACTATCTTCTTAACCACTAATAAGGGCACTGATATTTTGTAGCTGTGCAGGCAGAGGATGGGGCTGTACGTGGTTGCACAAGACCTGAGCCCCTGCAGGAGGTTGTGAATTGGTGCTTGTGTTGTGGTGCCTCACACAGATCCTGTGCTTGGTTCATCTGTGCCTGCTGAGAAAAATGTT